CCCTGGGTGCTGCCGAGGTGCTTGACCTCCCGGCCCAGTGCTGGACCGCTCTCCCGCCTCTGCCCACGCCGCGGGCTGGAGCTGCTGCCCTCGCCCTGGGCAAGCAGATCCTAGTAGTGGGTGGCGTGGACGCGGCGCAGAGCCCTCTTGCCTCCGTCGAGGTCTACCATGTGGATGAGGGCAAGTGGGAGAAGAAGGCGGCGCTGGCTCAGCCCTCCATGGGCATCTCGGCCGTGCAGAGAGGTGAGGGCTGGGGATGGGCCTCAGCTGCAGGTTGCTCTCTGGAAAAGCGGGGATGAGGCAGTTGGGGATGCTTGGGTGGGATTTCGGGCTGACCCAGCGCTGAGGGATCTGGTGGAGTTGGGAACGGTCAGGGTGAGGTTCATGGTTGAACTGGAGGAGCTTCAAGGGCTTTTCCAGCCTCAATGATTCTGTGACTCGAATCCCGCTGCTGCTTGGCACACAGCACGAGGCTTTCACCCAGCAGCCAAACTTGCACTTAACAGCAGGGTGATGCTCCTGGCGCAGCAGCCCTGTTGCAGCCTGGAGCTGAGCGACAAGGAGCCCCTCTGGGCCTTCCCCAGCTGCCAATGGCTGGGAGCTGTGCCGGGGTGGCTGAGCACGCTGCTCCAGCCCAGCTCGGTGTGCTGCGCCTCGAACGCCTTGTGATTCCTGCCCAAACTTTGTTGAGCAGCCTCCAAGCCTTAGCACAGCCCTGCAACCCGCGTGCTGGGAGCCGGGGTTGGTCCCCGTATGCGGTGCCCATGTCTGCTCCCTGCCTGGGGATGCTGTGGCATGGCCCCAGGCTGCAGCGGGGTGGGCAGGGCAGAGGGGATGGCAGGGCAGCGGTGGGAGCGGGCAGGGGTGCTGGCCGCGCGGGGAGCAGGAGCAGGATTTGGCAGCATGGCTGTGTTGCCATGGTGTCTCCAGGGAGATGGTACTGCCGAGAATAATTAGAGCCGATGGCCTTGTGCTCCGCTCTGCGCCTGATGGATGGGGCGGAGAGGGGGGCGAGAGGGTCCCAGCGGGGTCAGGGCACTGCTGGGCTCAGGCCTGGCCACACTCACCATCCCCCAGGCACCGGGAGCAGCAGCTGGCCATGGGGCTCAGCAGCGCCCGTGCTGCCTGCCGTGGAGGGCACGGGGGGACTCCCAGCCCCATGGCCCCCCCAACCTCACCGCCACCTCTTTTGCAGACGGGGCCGTCTACGCGCTGGGGGGAATGGGTGCGGACACCTCTCCCCAGGCACTGGTCCGTGTCTACGAGCCGGCGAAGGACCACTGGCAGCCCCTGCCCTCCATGCCCACACCCTGCTACGGGGCCTCTGCCTTCCTGCAGGGCAACAAGATCTTTGTCCTGGGTAGGTGCTGCTGGGGCGAGCTGAGCATCCCCCCGTGCCCCTGTCCTCTCCCTCCACTGCCTCCCTGGACCGGGGAGCAACCTGCTGCACCCCAGGGTGGCTCCGTGCTGCCCTCCCACCCCAGTGCTGCAGCCGGCGGGCCCCACCCTGCTTGCTGAGCCCACCAATGGTGCCGGCTTGGGGCGCCGGCAGCCGCAGCGTCCCGTCTGTGTGCAGGGGGCCGGCAGGGCAAGTTGCCCGTCACTGCCTTTGAGGCCTTCGACCTGGAAACAAGGAGCTGGACGCGGTACCCCAGCGTGCCCAGCCGCCGCGCCTTCGCTGCCTGCGCCATGGTCGACGGCGTCGTCTTCAGCCTGGGGGGGCTGCAGCAGCCGGGTCCCCACAACTTCTATTCCCGTCCCCACTTTGTCAACACTGTGGAGATGTTCGATCCCGCGCAAGGTGAGCTCCGTGTCGCTGGCTGGGGTGTGAGCATCCCCTGAGGGTCCAGGATGCCTCCCTGGGCCTTGGTGAGGGGTGTCTGTGCCCAAGGGACACAGTTCACCCGGGCTCTGAGCATCAGCGTCTCGCACCCATGGCAAGTCCTGCCCTATGCTCCCTGGCCCCAGGGACCCATTGGCATGGGGGTGTCCTGGCCTCAGTGTGTGAAGCAGAGCCCCCAGCAGGCAACGCTCACACCCTCTTGCCCCCAGGTGCGTGGAGGAAGCCGAACCGTGCCATCCGCATGAGGGAGAAGAGAGCCGACTTCGTGGCCGGCTGCCTGGGAGGAAGAGTGGTGGCCATGGGTGGCCTCGGTAATGCCGGTGGTAGGCGTGTGGCTGTGTTCCCGTCCCCATCATTTGTGGCACATCAGTGACCTGCGCAGCAGCAGGGAGGACGAATGTACAAAACCATGGGGGTACTGCAACACCATCTGCAGCCGCATCCCTCCTGTGCCCCCCAAGTACTGCGGGGACCCTACTGCCCTGCTCCACGGGCTGCCCCTGCTGAGCCCCTTGCCCCTTTCACCCCCCGGCCAGGCTCTCCCCAGCTCATGTGCAGCATTCTGGGCTTTCACAGCCCGTGCCAGCGCAGCTCCCCCACGCAGGGTTGCAGCACCACATCCCTCTCCCGAGAGAGCTGGGGAAAGGTTAGTGCTGTCACTCAGCAGCAGGGATGCAGTGGGGAGGGCTGCCCAGGGAGCCGCAGCCAGGGCTTCCAGACCCCACTGAGCTCGCCCGGGGCAAGCTGGACCTCCTGCCACAGGGCAGGAGGAGGTGATGGGGAAGGCGAGCGGTGCAGGCTGGATCCCTGCGGCGTGGCATTGCTTCTGAGCCCCGCTGCGGCTGGAGCTGCCCTCCCTTACCCTCCGGTGATGGCTGCAGAGGCAGAGCCAGCCGTGCAGCATCAGTGACAGCAGCCCTCTCTGTGGGGACGCTGCCAATCCTCTTGTGCCCCTGGTAATCGCCTCTGGGATGGCAGAGCCCCCGCAGCTCAGGGCTCGGGGACCGGCTGCCGCTGGGGACTCTGGCTGGGACATCAAAGGCATGTGAAGGGGGAAAGGCAGAGCGTGGGGTGTGGGGAGGGCTGTGACAGGGCTGATGCCATTCTGTGTCCTGCAGGGAACCAGTCCTGCCCGCTGGACTCAGTGGAAGGGTTCAGCCTCTCGCAGAAGAAGTGGGAGCCGCTGCCCCCCATGCCCACTGGCCGCTGCTCCTGCTCCAGCTGCCCGACACCCAGCCTGCTCTTCGTCATCGGCGGGGTGGCCCAGGGTCCCAGCGGCGCCGTCGAGGCTCTGTGCCTGCGTGAGGTGCCCTGAGCGGGGCTCCGGGGACCAGCCCCGGCCAAGCACCAAGTGCCTGAAGACGGGGACAGGGTGTCAAAGCACCCATGCGTGCGGGTGACACGGCTCCAGGGAGCTGCTGTCTCGTTGACGCCGGGCACTGGAGCAGCCGCAGTTTCTCGCTGTGCTTCAGAAACCCCTCTCGGCTCTTACACCGGCTGTGACAATGGAGCCCCGGGCAAAAACCCTGCCTGGCAGGAGGGCTGCGGCCGGCAGCGTGCAGAGCAGCAGTGGCAGGACTGTCGCTGGCTTTGCTGCCCTGTCCGGCTCCATCCGTGCCGCGGCGTGTCCGTGCCGTGTGTGTAGCAGTGAGTGCTGTGTCGTCGTAGACCCAGTCGATGTCTCATGTAGCACAGAGGTGCCCTGTAGCTCAGTGCCTAGGAGGTGACGTAGCACCTCGAATAAATGAAACACGTGGAATTTTACCCTGCTGGTTGTGTCGTTCTTGGTTATCCTGCTCCGGGTGGGGGCATTGTGCAGCCTGTTGGGAAATCCCAAAGGAGAGCCTGGTGAGCCCTTCCCTGGCCAGACCCTGTGCTGTGGGGCAGGGACGGTTGTTGCTCCTTTCCCCCCTGCCAGGGCAAGCGGAGCAATGCAATGTAAGGATCCAGCCCTACTTTGGGAGAGGAAGAGCTGAGCCGTAGCTGCCCTGCCTCAGCACAGCCTTGCTCCTGCTTGGCCTCTCCTGTAGGCAAAGGGGCTGTGGGGGGGAAGGCAGCAGCAGGAGAGGGGCTTTGTTGGAGGGAGCCGTGGTGCGAGAGAGGGCAGAGAGTGGTGAGGGCTGCCAGGATGCTGAGAAATAAGATGAGACACCTAATGATGCCAGGGCTCCTGAGCCCCATCCAGCACCACAACCCTGTCTCAAAGGATGGAGCACGGCTGGTGCTTGGGAGAGCCAGATCTGGCTGTGTCCAGCTCCCCCAGGCAGGAACACCACATCTCCTGCTTACCGGCTCCAGGAAGGGAAGGTCAGCTCTGTACTGGTGGTGTCTGTGGGTGATGTTTAGGGGTGCACAGTGAGACTGGTGAGGGGATGACCCTCCAAATTGCCTGGTGCCATGGGATCACCGGAACCTCATTCATCTTGGCTCCATGTGGAGTCACACACACCAAAGAAGAGAGTGGCGGTAGCAAAGCAGGCAAGGGATTTGATCTTTCACTGGTACATTAGAAAAATCTCACAGGTCCAGGTAAATATCAAACACCGATGCTTGACCTTTTGGAGAAGACAACCAGCACAATTCTCGGGTGAGTAGCAGGGCTGGAGAGATGGGAGGCTGAATCCTGGCAGAGTGCAGCAGCATCCGGCATACCACTGGGGCAGGCTGCACCGTCTGCCGGGGGTGTCGCAGCGTGGGGGAAGTTGGAAACAGTTCAGAAAAGAGCATTCACAAGATGTTTTTGGTGTTGTTGCCCCATCGCCTCCACTGTCTGCTCGGCACAGTGACTGTGGGGTCTGTCCCGACGTGCCACATGGCCATTTGCCTGCGTTTTGGGAGGAACATCCTGGGATACCTGGGCTGGGGCTGAAGCCATCCCTGCATCTGCCTCTGGAGTTGCCATAGAAACCACCACTGTGCCAGAGCCAGCATCAACAGGGAGCCCCGAATTAGTGATTGAGCTGTACCTTGGCAGCTGGGGGGATGTGCCAGCAGCCAGAGAAGGTCAGTGGCTGGACAGAGGGCCCCCTCCTCTGAGCATGATGTGGCTTCAGCCTTTTCCTCTGAATATTGCAGCAGCACCCCATTTTCACAGCACTCCCTGACCTGTGCTCAGCCCTAATGGGCTTTTCCTTCCTGGGGTCCTGGGAGGTGACAGACCCCTTGGTGACACCTTGGTACCTCTCCCTAGCCTGACAGCCCTTTCCAGAAGACACCGAGGCAATAATAACTTCACTCTTCACCAAAACTTTAGTCATGGGGGACTCTAAATCACGGAGCTGTGTTGGAAATGCAGATCTGATTAATAAGTCTTTCCCGCAGGGGCATTGCATGGATGGGATAAATCAGACGCTGAGTCACAGGCAAATTGACATCCCTGCATGCCAACTTCGCAGCTTTCCCTGCTGCTGATGGGGCACCCAGTGCTGCTTTTTCCAAATTCAAGGCGATGCCAGCTGCAAAAGCTGGGAGAGGGAGAAGCTGTGGCTCGGGAGCCCCTCACTATTGCAGTGTTTCCAGCAGTGGGATCAATGGCCCCTGCTCCACAAGGGGTTTGCCCCCTTTTCGGCAGCACCTTGCCTCATGCACACAATTGCCCAGCACATCACCCACCGCAGTGCCATTTGGCTTGGCTCTTCCACCCAAGGCCAATAGAAATCCATGACCTCGGATTCCTCATTCTTTTTTATCTCCATTTTTGGGCACAGGACCAGGATCCCATCCAAATGAGGGGAGGAGAGCAGCCAGGACGACGGCCAAGGACATCTCGGAATGGATGGAGAGATCTTCAGGCAAAGGGATGCTGGTCCTGACCGCCCTGGGAGGCTGACACGTTATCAACAGAAGAGCTCCCCGTGAGTTTCTAATGAAATGTATTACAAAGAAAAAAAAGTTGAGTGATGTACCAAATATATTGCTGTCTATCTCCTGGCAGCTTCTGCTAATTTTTACTAAATGAAAGGCTTCAAGTATCTGGCCACACTCCCTAACGCTAGAAGCACAGTCTGTTACTTCAGATATAAGGAGAGCTACAAGCCAGCACCTGGCAACGTGGCTAATCTCCCCAGAGCGTGTTATGGATGGGGGAGACTGGAACTAGAGGTAGCTGTCAGACCTATAATTAAAAGAATGTGTTTCCTTATAGAAATTTATTTCCGTTGTCAGGAGAGATGGAAATACAAAAATCTCATTTATCATATTCCACAAACTCGGTAGACGCTCAAACCATAAAGCTCCAGCCACACCAGAAATAGGAATAGCTCTGTATAATAACCTAAAATAACAAGCTGAGTCTTATTGCCAGTGTTCAAAGCACCAGCAAATCCTTTCCTAAGGGCAGTCGAAGTGCTGTAAATGGATAAAGGGCTCTACAGTCTCTTCTGAAGGGAGTTCCAGGCCAACTTTCCAATTACAGGCAATAAAATGATGGAAAGTTACCATTTAAGATGCAGGGCCATATAGGGCCTGAGTACACATCAAGGGTCTTGGCAGCAGCGTTATGCACCAGGCTGTACAACAGAGCTGCAGGCAGTTCAGGATCAGAACAAGGTTTTATTTACTCGACAAGGGCAATAAACATTAATGTTCCCATCAGCACAGCTCTCTGGAGGAAGGTTTGCCTTCCAGCCCACGGCTGCCTTGGACAGCCAGGCCATTATCCCATCCCTAAAGCAAGAACATGATCCAGGCTGTGATTCCCTGCTCTGGTCTTAGAAAATCAACCTGTTAGAGGCTCATTGTGCAGCTGAGAGTTAACAAACAGCCATGATAAATCTGAGCTATTTATACCAGCCCTAGCGCTGTAGTGACAAGCAAAAACAATGCAGCAAAGTCACTCCGGTAAGTTTTTTTTTATGGGTAAAAGTCCAGATTTTTTTTTTTTTAAGTGAAAGCTTTATTTCTCTGGGATTTGATTAGGAAACCAGATATATACATCAAGAAAGCCATAATTTTGACACCTCTGAGCTCCAGGCTGCCTTTAATACTAAAGCATGTAATAAATACAAGAGTATAAAGGGGAATGTGACTAGTTCCCCTAATCTATTAATCAATTTATATCAACCTTCTTTCTGCAGTGGTTTAGTGCTTGCAGAGTACCTTCAGAACCAGCAGCCAAACATTTTAACAAGGACTGAAATTGTTTTGAATTAAAGGAGAAAAAAATAGTCAAGTAAGCTTGCCCATTTTCCATTCCTGAAGACAGAGGATAACAGAGGCACAAGATAAAAATTCCAGTAAAACCATATTTGAGAATCTTTCTCCAGGGAGTGTTTAGATGATGGGTTATTTTTGTTATACTTCTAATGGGTGAAATTAAATCACGCTGCATTTCTGCGAGAGGTACTTACACGAGAAGACCACACAGCCATGAAGTTCCTCCCCCTGCTCCGTGATGGCCCCCTGTGCCCAGGGTGCTGCTCCCAGGCGGAGGGGCACGGCCTGCCCGGTGTCTGCTGCGGGCAGCTGGGGGAGAGCCCGGAGCTGGGGCCAGTCCTGGAATCCACAGCCCCAGGGCGAGATGCCGAGACCCCAGCCCCGGGCTGTGAAGCCCCCCGTGGGGCAGCTGCACCCTGGGCCTGTGGAGAGGCCTCAGGCCCAGGCCTGGGCAGCCATGTTGGCCGGGCCTGCTCTCGGCCTGCAGGGCCGTGCCCCCCCCCAAGGGTCTCCCCACGGCGAGGGGGCACAGGGGGATGCTCCCCCCTGAGCGGGGTTTATCCGTCTCTCCCCATTCTCCTCCTCTCTGCAGGGCAGCGTGGTGGCATTGCCGCTGCAGGGTAGGAGAGGTGGGAGCAGAGGCCGTGCATGGTGGAGGCTGGGAGCTCCCAGTGAGGGTGTCGGCTGAGGAAAAAATTAAAAATGAATGTCAACGTCTGGAACATCAAGGAGATGTTGAGCACACCAACAGCCACCGGGTGAGCTTGGGCCATGGGGTGGGGAGGAAAGATGATGAGAAAATCGTTTATAAAATTAACCAATTCAGGTGTTTGATGGAAATGAGGTGAAACACATCTTGAATGGATCTACAGTCTGGTTAATGATGGTTAAACAGCTACTCCGTGATCCTGTTTGTGCCTGCATTGCTCCCAGCCTGCCAGGTGCTGCCATAGATCCCCCACGGCTGGGAATTTAAAAACCAGCATCAGGTGAAAGCTGTTCTCTGGTTTATTCGGGTAAGTCCTGTGGCCTGTCTATGTCCAGTTAGGTAAGTTAAGTGTTCTCTCTCACCCTTGTGCAGAGGGTAGATAAAATGAATTGCAAATTCACATTATGTAACTCTAAAATTATTCCATGTCCTGCATTTATACGCATGGCTTAATTTTTTCCCAGCAGAAGTCAAAGAGCAGCCAGAACTCCCCATATCTACAATATGTAGTGAAACAACAAATATTATTTGGATGTAAACATCTGGAAAGCAAATATGTAAGACAGGCTGCTTTTATTTACAAGCTGAGCATCACCTTTTGCATCACGTGGCTAAAAAAGACAGCGAGATTTATCCCTTGTTTGACTCTGAAGAAGCTAATTCATGAATTTGGTCCTCTGAGCCTCTGTTAGTTAAATAACCCACTTACATAACTAACTGTTGTTCAGATTCACAGTTTTAGTCATGCTGTCTCTTTGGCCTGATGTTACCACAATGACGGATGATAATGAAAACCAGGTTTCCTTGCCCATTATAAAAACACTTGTCATATATATTTGAATTAATTGAATTTTGCACAGATGCAGGTGTCAAAGGGGAGCCAATTCAAA